TTGTGGTCCAGTGTCCTTGAAAACCCATTTTAGAAGATATTTTTAGGAGAAACGCCAGGATTTGTGGTCCACTGTCTTTGGAAAACCATTTTAGAAGATATTTTTTGGAGAAACACCAAGATCAGTGGTCCAGTGTCCTTGAAACCCCATTTTAGAAGTGATTTTTAGAAGAAACACCAGGATCAGTTGTCCAGTGTCCTTGAAAACCCTTTTTCTGGTTGGCATCATTACTGAGAAAGCGGATGGTGGCTTTTACCCCTTTGACAGTTAAGGATAATGGCTCAGATTCACAAAATTTGCCTGAACAAAGAAAAATGTTACAATATTAAAATGGGAAATGCAGCTTTTTACAATTTCATATTTAATCATTTTATATTCAAACCTTGTGATGTTCCAGCTGCATCAAGGACCTCCACATAATCCACACACTGCCCCAACAAACCAACAGGCTGTAGATCAAAGTGAGTGAAGACTATATGGATTCCGGAGGCTGTGGGAACAGAGATAGTCCAGGTGCACACTGCTTGTTTTGGGTAGTCATTGGGCCAGTTGGGTGATTGGAGCTCGCCCTTTTGACTTGTGAAGTGTCCACCACAGCCAACAGCAGCTGGAGATTTACAGACAAAATATAATGGGTTGTTAGTTCAATGGTATGGGGTGCTCTAAGAGATTTCCATGATGTTGCTGTGGGGTTGCTACTGTGTTCTAATTGGTTGATAGATAGAGATTCACGACTACAGGTTGCTGGTCTGTTACTATAGAGTGAATTGGAGTCTGAGACAAATATTGAAAAGTTATTATTTTGAGAAGATAGGGGAGAGGGGTCTGGATGCAATTTGAGCTGCATGCAATGCTTTAAAATGGGCTCACCTAACCCTACCCCTTACAATGAAGTCACTAGCTCCATTGAGTGCATTGTGTCTGACATTGCATCTCTAAGAGATGGTCAGCTTGCATCATAAAGGCTGCATCCAGACACTACTGATACTGGGGTGCTTCATGTGACTAGCAGACCTAAAAACTAAAGAATCTTATCTAAAGGCATTGTGTAATAATTGATAATAACTATTTCTGGAGAAATTGTTTGCACAGCATCATGGGAAATGTAGTTTCCTACACAAATTCAGCTGTTTAACTTATTATTTTTTTAAATAAGTTTCCTTTAAGCACAGGTCTCATACCCAGTTTCTGGAGGGCCGCAGCTCTGCACAGTTTTGTTTCAACCCTAATTAAACCCAACTGATCAAGCTAATTGAGTCCTTCAGGCTTGTTTAACACATAAAGGTAAGTGTGTAAAAGCAGGGTTGGAACTAAACTGTGCAGAGCTGTGGGCCTTCCAGGAACTGGCTTTGATACCAGTGACATAAAGAGATAGGTTATCCAAAAAATAAAATTCTCTACTCGTTCCTTGTTTGATTTATTTATTTATTTTTTTGTCTGTTGAACAAAAAAGAAGATATTTTGGAAACATTGAACCATTGGCTTCCATAATATTTGTTTTTTCCAACTATGGTAGTCAGGGGTTACCACTTTTCAGTTTTCTTCAGAATATTTTATTAATAATATATAATATATTGTCTTCAACAAAAGAAAGAAGCTATAAAGGATTGGAACCACTTAAGGCTGAGTATGTTTTCATTTTTAGGTGTCAAAGTCAGTTCCTGGAGGGCCGCACGTCTGCAGTTCAGTTCCAACCCTAATTAAACACAGCTGATCAAACTAGTTGAGTTCTCAGGCTTGTTTAAAACCTACAGGTAAGTGTGTTAAAGCAGGGTTGGAGCTCAACTGTGCAGGGCTGCGGCCCTCCAGGAACTGACTTTGACAGCCCTGCTTTAATTCAAACATACTGTATGGGTTAAAAAAAATCATATACAATCAATTTCCCAATGGAAAAAAATAGTTTTTACTTTCGGAATTCAACTTTAATGCTGCGTTCAGCCCAAATGCGAATTGAAGTATTTGCATGTTTAAATTGAATACAAAATCAATAGAAATGTGCACATAGAGGTGGTTTTCACAAGGTTGTGTGAATTATTTGTTTGCTGTGAACATGTGGAATTTGCTATAATTGCAAATTACGCGCAATATCCGTGCACTCAACTGTGTGCGAAAAACATACTATGAGTAAACTAGAGCCAGTGACGCATTGTTCTCTTTGCGTTGGGTGTGAACCCAACAAAATATGTTGCTTCTGCACAGTGATCTGAATGGTTAGTTGATAGAGTTTCAAAAGTGGCTGCCAGTGTGTTGCTGTGCAGTTTCTGTGATGTTCCTGAATGGTCATTAGCTCAATTCTCAGTTAAAAAGATGTTCTGAAAGGTCAGCGCCAGTGGTGTAGTGGATAGTGTGTCGACACATGCACTCTGGTGCTCATGGTGACCCGAGTTCGATTCCGCCTCGTGGTCCTATGCTGATCCTTCCTGTCTCTCTGCTCCCAATGCTTTCCTGTCAATTCTTTCTATTTTCCTATCCAACAAAGGTGAAAAACCCTAAAAATAATAATTTAAAAAAAGATGTTCTAAACGGTTCTTAAATTGGATTGTTTGACAACATGTATCCACTTGTTAAGTCTTACATCATGCAGAGCGGCTTCAGGGTCCAAGCAC